ATACATACAATCACTCATAAAAATAATTGAAACACAATATGAAATGATTTTGTTATATGTGCTTCATTAACTTACGAATTATTAATATACGATACAATTATCGCCATGAAAGACTGCCGCTACGTCATAATTATATGAACCTAGCTATGCACAACGTTTACAATAAAGTCACATGAGAAACAGTACATCAAATAAGGGCAGTGAACACTCGAACTATGAGTTATTGAATAACATAATGTGGTAAAAAGAGAACAAACATAAACGAATAACCAATACGTTTTATAAACATTGAACTATATATTAAACCAATCTCAAGTTGCATTTGAAATGGTTTTTTTTATATTTGTCTTGATAGTTTGCACTTTCAGAATAAATGATCGCTGTCGCCATCTCGGAGTATATTTTCTAATTAAAGTATTACCAAGACGTATCGGCATTCCCTCCTGGCGAGAATAGTAACACATTTGATAGGAATCTCAATTAATAAACGATTTTATTGAACACACATTTCATTTAAATGTTGACTTAATTATCAACAAACTTTTTATATAAAGTTGATGATTAAAAAATTAAGGACGAACAGTTTCAAGAAGGAATTAAGATGATACTTGAAATCGAAATAATTCCTGATAAAATTCGTGTCTAATATATGGCACACATAAAATCAATTTGCAATTAATTAAAAGTATGATAACTTGAATTTTTTGGTTGATAATTTTAATTCGTCTCTGTCATGGAGACTTTCAAGAACGACAGTTCAGTTAATTTGAATGTATGTATGCGACATTAGCGACAAATTAAAGTTCACCGCACATTTTCATTCAACACAATGGCACAAATGGTTTTTTTAAAAAATTAGTTAAAATCATTCTTGATGAATTAAAAAATTATTTCAATGAAACATTCGTAAACAATGTTAATTAGGGACCGCGAAAGTGATTAATAAAATTAACCACACACATTTTAATTCAATATAATCACACGAATGACATTTACAAACCATTTAAAGTGACAGTTGAAGTAAAATATTTGTTGATAACTGTACTTCAGATCAGTAATTAAAATTATCAAAACACATTTAAATTCAATAGTTATTTTCAATCGTTACTAGTTTTATTTCCATAATTTAAATGAAGATACTTGTATATTTATTGAATTAATTGTTCCGTTCTGAATAACTATTATTTACTTAACGTCGCCCATGAACGGAATTTCAAGCAAAGGCTCGTAGCTCAACTTTAGACCACAGGTATATTTACGAGTACGTACCTGATATTTATACGTATTAACACAAAAGTGTTTTCGTATGGCAACAATCGCATAGTCCAGATGTGAAATTGGATTAAAAATAGCGTGCTTGTAAATACGAATTCTGGGGAAGTACGTATAGGTATAAGGAACAGTGGCGTAGAATGCATTTTTAATTAATAATATTGCTAAATGGTTGTAGAATACATAGCAGGAAATGAAGGAAACTGTTGCAAACCAATATAGGTAACGTGCGACAAACACAGACAGACGAACAGCATAACCAATGAAGTCCAAGTCCAAATTACCAAAATTTAATCAGTTAATCCCACAACCTGTTCTACCTATTACTAAAACAGAATTGGAGTTATTATGTACACAGACAACGGACGGACAGAAAGTCCAAAATCGTGAACGAGCTGAGTCGCTCGTTAATAAGCATGAATAACACGTAGAAATAGCGGGAATAAACAAGTAAAGTAGAATCTGTTTGATAATGTGAGTATCTTGAAAATAATTTACAAATCACAACAGAGCCAAATACAAGCCCATTTTTCAACTGCCTCTAAACACATTCCGAATTCCCAATAGTGATTGCGATAAATAGGCCACCCTGTACGTAACAGCTAAACTAGGAATCATCAAAGGTTGCAACATCTGGATTTCTTCACTCAACGTTGCAACCGAGGCGCCCACTACCACTGTGATTCGATTATCTATCTTTCTTTACTCTTTAGGTACATGTGCCTTCGTGGTGCTCTCTAAAATTAATTTATTCCACATTTCACACAGAATATTAGAAAATACAGGTAAGTAACGTGTAAAAAGAAAGCAATACGATCAAGAATTATCCTGTGATGTGCCGGACTATGAATTGTGAAGTATGGACACATCACAAACTAAATACTTAGACCCGATCAAGAGAAGCAATGCATCTGTAACGGCACTATGGTTTCAGACAAAAAGAATTTCAAACAGAGAATAGATTCCTAGGGTAGGGTAAAACGCTGCAATACGCCCCAGGTGACAACATACCCCTACTCAAATATATGGTAAAATAGTGTTATCTACGTCCGCCATCTACCTGTGCGTATGCGCAATGGTAATTTATGTATATGGCTGATGGCCGGTGTTTATTAACAGTGTTTGTTACAGAAATACAATTAGAAATCGTTTTTGAACAAATTGCAAACAAATAAACAAATTTAAGTAGTTTTCTCTGGCTTACAATGTACAAAAATAGCCCTCATAGCCTTTAGTTGCCATACTTCATCGAATGATTATAGTCATACGTTGTTGCCAGTTGTGAGGTGGGGCATTTTGCACCACAAAGTTTGTAAAACGCCCCAGTTGCTTTGATATAATATGCCCTGGAATGCAAATGTTATTCAATTGTCCATTTTGTTACAATTGCGATAAGTATGCCGCGGAAATATACAAGAACAACATTGAGAGCTTCGTGGCCTGCGTCTGAGGGACGCCTAGGAGGTTATGCAAAAAGTGAGGTCAAAAGAAATTGGGGTTTAAGTTAATGAAGCAGTAAAAGCATCAAAATACACTGTAGTATAATAAGAAGGCATCTCTTAACTAAAACTGGAAAGCCCGATTTTACTGATAAGCACGAAAAAAACTGGTAAACCACATTACAAAGCTGGAGAAGGTCGGATTTGCAGAAAATGGCTTAGCAGCTAGCTAATAAGCTTAATGTCAGTAACCCTTTCCCTTGCGAATCAAAGGCTGCTGGTTGAAGAGATTTATGTCGGGAAATTAGGAACTAAGGCAACGTAAATACGAGGGTTATATGATGGTAATAGATAGGATGTGCGAGAATTTTTTGATTTACCGGAATATACCACTATATCCCAAACGCAATCCCGGATCAGAACACTTGCCGGCGTTGTCTAAAAATCTGGCCCACCTAAACTCTCCGTCGCGCGCTGCAACACCTCCTGTTGCCCTAGTTCTCATTCCAGGGGTGTCGCGAGTACTAGCAAATCCAGTTCCTAAAACTCCGGTAAAAACAACTGAAGGAGAAGCTTCTCAATGTGTAACAGAAGGAACTCCAACAAAGCTGTTGCTATACAAATCTATGTCCGGTGCCAAAATGACCGCCGATGTTGATGAAGAGAAAACAAAAAGCGGTAATTCTTACTTCACCATCAGAGAACATGGAAAAGCGAGGGGATATATTCATAAGAAACAAAAGGTGCATCAAAAGAGCCAGACGAAAGGCAAAATAAAACATTGGGCCAAAGTAGAAGAGGAAGTTTGAGCAACAAAGACATCAGGCGAAGATATTTCAGATGATGAGAATTGTACAGACCATTATTTACCTCTTCGATACAATATGTATTATGGAATTTATGGTTACATTAATTCCGCACCATGTATACAACCCAATGTGCGAAAGGAAGGCCAAGTGCCAGGCATTGAAGAATTGTGTTACGTTTACTCTAACGAATTTTTACAGTAATGAAAAGGTAGCTTCTAGAATTGAGTGCTGCTTAAAATCCCTACCGCTAAAATTTAAAAATCAATTTCAAGTACGTAGGTATGTAGTAAGTAAAATTGAATTATCCTTATCATGTACGAATTTGATGGTAAATTACACAACTAATTGCGGTTTCACGCAATGCGTTTAATTTGATTAATGTACAAACCAACAGAAAAAGTATTAGCTTATGTATGATTCTAAAGTGCAGTGCATAAAAAAATTACTAATTCGACATTAATCGATGATCATTTTTAACTCAAGTCAACCAAAAGGATGAGAGCATAATATTTTGTAAGATCATAATATGACTTACTTGTGACGTGGAAATAAGTCGTAACTGTTAATAAAATGGTAAACTGTGACTATCACGTTGAAAAATGTGTTAAGGGGTATGTTTGTGGCAATACTAACACTACTGTTGTAAAAATTATACTTACTATGATTTCAAAATATTGCTTTGCCACAATTTTACTAAGAAATACATGACATCAGGACTGACGCGGATAATTCACATCTTACTTTTCTAATAGTCGTTTAAATATGTAATACCTATTTTGTTTTTTTAATAAAATAACCATCGATACGATGCGGGGCAACCAAAAATTTGAATTTGTATTTCTTGGGGTGCCGCTGACAATGAAAGTAGGGTTTTTAAATGGCTAGAACTTATAGCGTCGGCAAAGATTGTTATATCTTTCAAAGACAAAGTTTATAGAATAATGAACTGATTAAAAATGTTCAACGACATTTCAGACTATATTTTTTCAAAGCACTAGGTATAGCAAGCACATATGTAACCAGGAACGCTTCTGTTGATTTTTACTCGATAGAGTAGATCAAAATGCTATACCTCTACTTCTGCGGAGGAAACCACTACAAACAGGGAATTAAATGTGAAAAAGTGCCATCAACGTCTTAGAATGAAGAAATGGGTAGTCAACGAATAAAAACTGAATACATTTCTTTGATTTTTCCCAGTTGTAAGGTGTCTCAAGCGATGGTTTTAAACGTTTGAAGGTACAATGTACCACTTTATGCCAGGTTCTAAGTAAATAAGGGTTTGTTTGCATTCCGTGTCAATATTATATTCGGCATGTTTTACAAGGTGATAATCTAATCACTCCGATAAGCACCGCATATCAAATAATACCTATTCAATTTAGATCTCTCGGCAACAAGAGCGGAAATGCAACCGAATTATGCCGGGGAACTAAGTTTTAGAGCGCTGAAAATTCAATAATGCAAAATTTATAAATACCGTGTCTGTATAGTCGGATTTTCTAGACAGTAAAGTGGAGCACTGCCGTACCTGTTTGGAGAAGACGGCGATGTCTTCGTTGAAGGATTCCGAGGAGCACACGTCTCCCCCCGCGACCCCCGGCTCGCGGGGCGTGCATGTTGCTAGCTCGCACTTCTCGAAGATGAGTGCTAGCAAGGGAAATAACGGGTGCCTATAACAAAGAGTTCCATTAAAAAACTACGTACATTGCCCTTTTACACAAGTGCATGTTTTCAAGTGTTATGATTGTCACCATTCCCTATCATCCGTAAATTATCCCAAGATGGTTTGTCATAAATAATTTGCAACATTTATGAACGTGCCTGCAGTGTTATATTATAGATACTTATTCATAACTTAATAGAATGGCCGTTTTATTCTAATACAGCAAAATAAAAAAAACAACGTTTTCCTTCCATTCAATGACTTTTTTATCGCTCTTAGATCATACGGGAGTGGATTTTAATTTTACTGGATGTAGGAAAAACTATAGTTGGTTTATATGAAAAAAAATGTGTGGTATATCTCGACAGATGGACAACTCTCAAACTCTATAAACTAATTACGGGTGCCTATCCAAACATCCACTTTATAATTAGCCATCCAATTTAAAACGGCTTTGTTTATTTAAAATACACTCCTTAAAAATTAAAACGGCCAATCTAATGTAAATTTACTCATTCAAAAAAATGTAAATAATCTCAACCAAACGAAGTTATATTGATATAAACGAATAAGCACTAACTAATTGGTAACACCTTTAAATAAACAAAGTTGAAGATAAATGTAAATATTGTTTTACAGTTGGCATGCGATGGAGTCCGGCAAACGGACTGTGGAAATGGTGGGTTTCACACATTCACTTAAAATTGATCCAAACTTACCCATAGATTGCGTCCTTGTCCCTTTTACCAACGTCTGGTACTGCACCTCCCATAACATGGTTAGCGGCGGGATTAACATGGTTCGCATGATAAGGATGCATACCGTGATTTAAATGTGGGGAATGGTGAAGACTTTGTAGCGTAGGTCGGTGGGCTACGTGGGGCTCATAAAGCCCACCCGCCGCCGCCGCACCGCCGTCCATATATCCGGGATGAATTCCTTCGTCATACTGCAATTGCACCAAAATATAAGCACGAGCACTTCATAGATAACGGAAACCAAGCCAATTGGGTTTGCACTTATCCGCCGGCAAAACGTTAGTTACTTAATCTTTATGGATGAGAAAAATCTCGCTAACGATCCCGCCGGCATTAGGAATCTTACACAAACGCGCTATACGAAAGACCGAACGATTTAAAAAAAAACTTGCACTTCCAATTAGGTACAGATAATACCACAACAGCAACGCATTCCTTCAATATTTGTTCTGCATAGGTAATAACATCGAAGAATAAAGACGTAACAGTACCGGAACGTACGTAAATATGGGCAATTAAAAAAATTTTGTCCATTATAATTTTAACCGTAATTTTGTTAACTTTCATAATTACAAGCTAGAGATTTTATTTAATTTCCGTAATTAGGAGTATTTCCGCAATAAAATTTTAAAATAACAGAATCTACTAATAAAAATCATTATAAGAATGGCAATTAAAATTTATCCTTGTCTAAAAAAAAGTTCTGTTAACTTCAAAGTATACAACACAGAATTAATTAATTTTCGGCAACATTTTTGGACTTATAAATTTAATGTGAAAAATAATATGAAATTCTATATACGCTTGAGAAAAACATTGATGGGATATTAATGTTTAAACTAATGGAATAAGTATCAAAATTGTTGTTTTGTTACAAAAACCTAAGATGGAGGATTTTTGTAGTACTTACTATTGTTTCAAAAGTGGCTTGATAATGAATAGAAAATGTATATAAACATACTACTCACAGTGGTATATTTTATGCATCAATCTTTACCGTCCATTAATGCCAAAAATAATTTACACTATGTATAATTAACAGAGCGTGTACGTAGTATATTAGTGTACAGCCTTTATTTCATTGTAATTCACATAGCATTAACACTACTACCTAATAAAATCCTATTTGTAAAGCAATGTAACTAATGTTTCCGTTTTTATTATGATAGTAAATTTGGTACCTATACATTGTAAAAGAACTTGAAAGTAAAAGTGGACATTATACTGTAAAAAACATTCAATGGGAATGAAACAGTTATTATCTGTATCATTTAAACAGTTCATATTATTAATGAACTAATTAAATAAAAATTTGGAATTTAAATTTGTATATCAATTAGGGTATTAAAATTTTACTACAAATCCACAAACTTTGATTGGAGCTATTCATTATCTGTTCACTAGAAACAATTTTGGGCCATTTCTCAGAAGCAAAGGATTGCCGGTGGTTTTTGTAGAAAAATCAAGAGTTGGTTAAGGAGCGACGGGTCATGAGCTTAGTCCCGTTTCGATTTTTTAAAAATATCAATCATAAGTCTACAGCCCGGTTTCTCAAAGGATGAGAATGATTAAAAATATCCAAATCCAAATATTTTGTAATCACTTATTTGTGAGATCGGACATAAGGGAAATTTGGTCTCAAAGTTGCCGTCGCAAGATGATTTAATTTTATGTGCTCAGCTAACCGCCGGCTACTGGGATATGAAGAATTTTCAGTTAATGAAAAGTGTAATGAGTTAAAAAGAAGTACACAGGAACGCTATATTGAAATGAGTTCCACTTAAAGATGGAACTTATTGGAATGGATGTCGTCGTAAAATTTCATGGAGTACTAAACGGGCTCTGAGTGTGTGGTTATATACGGCCCGGTAGTTTTTTTTAAAGGAGCACGAAATGATTTGAAGATGTCATTTTAACTGCCTGATGTTGTAGAAGATTAACAATACTGCCGAACAATTGAGCGTCGCTAAGGTGGAAACGCCACCCTTATTACGCTTTTCCGCCGCATTGGAAATGCGCGAAAAGTTTTTCGTCTGTAATTGCGGGAGTGATTTGATCGGGAAAAGTTGCGACGGGTGATATCCTTTAAGGCAATGCAGATAGGTTTCGTGGTCTTATGTAACGACTTCTATGAGAAGTTTGAAGAGAAAACGATGGCCAGATGCCCGAAATTCTTGGATGACTGTACAAAAATGACAGACGAGTTTTTTAGTATGGGCAGGTAGAAGAATCGGCTTTATAGTAAAATGCCTATTCATGAATTTTAAAAGAATTAAAAGGTATTCCTAAAAGGTAAGAGATAAACTGTAATCTCTGGAATTGTGAATTGGTGACCGCGTTCTTTTGTTAACCGTAGACGTATGTGCTGCCTTAATCCTTGAAATTGAACGCCAAAGAGTAATGATGGTGAGTGTCGCGAATCTATTTGTGATATGCAGAGTGCGTAACCCGTGAATGATAAATGGATAGACACCGTTTATTGTCGTTTAGATTGATAGCACACTCACTAAGCACTACAAACACCGCGACGTCCTGCCGCCGTCGCCGAGTATTCCGAATTGCAATCGCGCGGTCGTCGAAGGCAATAACAATGATTTATAGATATCGAACTTTTTTAAACTGCTGCATGAGCTTCCTGGAGAATCCTCAAGTTGGATGCGTAGGTATAAACCCAATTGGCTTGATTTTGGTTTGAGCCGCGTTTCACCTACCCGTGGCTGAGCCATGAAAGCCCTGCCGGTCGCACCAGGGTAGTCTGCGTGTTGGGCCACCGTTATACCGAGTCACAATCCACTGCACTGCACATATAAACGGGCCCGGGCCCAGGTCACAGATTCACTCGCGTCTTTTAAAATATTTATCGCAGTCGTCGTGGTCACATCACACGCGGCGCCTCCACGTGCTGCACCTGGAGATCCGAATCATGAGCATGAGCAGGCTTTGTTACTGCTGCTGCGCCGTGAGAAGATCCGGAGCGCGTGCGGAGAACCTGCGCGTTCCGCAGTCGTCTGCCAACTGTCAATCACGGCCGTCGGCGGGGGCAGAGTGGGGCCGCAGATGAATGATCTGTCAGGAAACTTGCCCGCCCTACAGCCAATGGCGGCCGTAATATTGCGCTGGCGCTATTCCGATCGCCCGTACTACTAATGCCTACCATGCACAATGCACGGCCCGATTCCACCGTACCTGCGTAAGGAAAAGGGATTTTGCGCGCATTTAAACTCATCGAGTTTATTCGAAAAACGTTCTTTTGATAACTGTAAAAAGTAATCACGCGATACACTGTAATTACTTCGGGGTTCAAACCGTTCACTTCACCCCATCATCTTAGCTAAGTACCCCTACCGAAATTACCAATGTATGATCTCATAAAAAATAAACTGCACAAAGCTCTTGAAATGTACCTCAGTTTGTCAAAGCACGATGTACATAGCGCCGCGCGTCACAAGCCATCATCCATCATCGTTTCACAGTGGTGCTATATCATAAGCTTTGCATGAGCCCTGCAAGCACCCGACCGATGACAACTTGTCAGTGCCAATCACCGTTGCCTCCGGCGGCGTCTCCTGCGGGTTTGTCTAGGATGCGCTCTCATGAAAAATGATTGAGCGCTCCGAATAAATCTTTCAAACACTTAGAATTGACGTAAACAAGTGATAGCAAAGAGCAAGTCTTACCGCGTTGTCAGACAAATCTGACAGCGTCCTCAAAGTCGTTCAACACTTCTGTTTGTTGATATTATATCAGCTGTGATGTTGCACTTTCGAATCGCTCCTTTTAAAATAAATAAATCAATAAATACTAGGCCAAATAAAATACACATTTCCGATCTGTTTATCCTTTCTCTTTTTTTCAAACATACGCGGGGAATTTGTTTATTTATATGTGAAATTTTCATCAAACATACCTACTGTGCACCTTCATACCTATTTATTGTATTTGATGGAAATCGAGATGTCTAATTCGGGGGCAAGGTAAAATACTTTATGGTGTTTGTGTCATACCTACGTCCATTAAATTTGGATTACGACCTATGTTCCAGTTATAAAACGCTTGTTGAAAAGTCCATCTTTTTCGATTGTTAGCATTTTGAGCAATCATGAACAGACAACGCCATAATGAATAAGCAGTGAATAATGTTTTGTTTATTAGGTAGGTAAGTAACGGGCTATCAAAAATGAGTGGCAGTCGAGTTGCCATATGGAAGTTTAAGTGAAGTATAGGTACTATGCGATCAAAAAACTATCGAGTTACCTTTGGAATTTTTGTTTCCATGGGAAATCGTGAACTTCCAAAGGCGACTCGACGTCAATGGTTTTTTGATCGCCCGTTACCTACGATTTTACAGGTAAACAAAAATTCCAAAGGTGACTAGACGCAGCAACTCATATTTTTGATCGCATTAGTATAACGCCATTTCTAGTGGCGAATCAATGGAGCCACATTTACGCTTCCCTCATTAATCACAGACCAACAGATAAATTGTGTGTGCAGCTTCACTGCCATTGCCGACCTTAGGTTTAGTAACTGTGCGACAATTAACAGGAAAATACCTATACAGCGGCAAAATGCAAATTTCAAATTCATTCAACGGATTCACCAATGTTGATGTAGGTAAGTATTTCTGTTAGGTATAAAATATGATGTGGGATAGCTGAATAAAAATGCTATAAAATCGCATCAGAATTTCAAAAACGACATCTTCAGTGTCAAATTTTAGAGAGACGTTAGGTACTACCGACTACCGTGAAAGTGTTGTTGTTACGTAGACCTATCCTATTTGAGATATTATGGAATTCAACATAAATATTTAAGTCACCAATCACAAAGTAAGCAGGAGAACTTCTTGAGGCTATAGGTACAGTGGCGTACCGACAGGGGGGCGGCGGAGGAGCGGTCCGCTCCGGGCGGCACTGTGACAGGGCGCGGCAAAAATAATAATCATATTGATAAAATACCCAACTTTGTCTATGCGCCGAGTTGATAATTCTTGAAAAGGGTCTTTTGACGTTTGTCTTTTTGACATTCATCGTAAGGGGAATTTCAAAAATGGACACAGTGAATGATAATGAAGAGAAAAATGTTATTACTGGTCCTCCAAGTGCGCAAGCGGCAACAGAATGTTTTTTTAGAATTTACCTGCCATCCCCTTCATCTTCTGCTAAAATGTGTATCTAATTAAAATTGACTAATAATGTTACAATCGGAATAATGAATAAAATGGTTAGGTTATAAAAGTAGGCAACAAAATTCATCACCTTTTCTTCTTGAAGAAGTGTAAGTGTACCTACACTTTTCTATCATTTTCCCCCATTTTGAACTGACTGTAACAAGTATACAGAAAAAGTGAACAAAAGATTAAATATTAGTTTGCAATTCTGCATATACTTATTAGGTATTTTGTAGGAAAGTTGTCGCAGTTTTTCCTTGAACAACCTATTTATTCTGCATGCCCTGCCATATCTTATTTAGCTAAGTAAGTTCAGTAGGTAGGTATTATTACATAACTCAATGTTGCCTGGTTTCAAAAACGTGTGCTTTTGTAACCGTTCCCCGATTATTTTGCATGGTAGGTAAGTAGGTTTCCGAAATCTGTTCGGTAGGTATGTGGTTTTGTAGTAGGTAGGTACATATATTTATATTATGTTTCCCCCTATATATTTGACGGTACTGGCACAGATTAAAATACTTTTGTCTGTGGTACTGGGTTCGTTTAAATAATTGGACATTGACCGAAAGACTACCTATATATTAAGTAAGGTAATACAACGTGGTAGGTACATAACTAACTTACGGAAACGGACATGCTGAATTGCATTGTTACCAAACTAAACTACAATAATACAATACCAACTTAAAAATATAGTCGCATTCAATACATCACAATTTAGAAACGCTCTTTACTATTACACATTTTTCTTAAACAAAAAATAAATTTTAAACTCAAAAGAAAATGGCGGCCAAGAGAAGTAGCGCAACGAATGCACGAAAAAATTCTAACTCTGCCAAAAGCATTTCATTACATGTTTATTTAAATAAATTCAATAAAACAGCACAACCAATGTTGTATGTTACACGACCTGAAACACTTATAGCTTCATCCCTTTCATGCCTTCGGCCTCACGCGGAATTAAGGCTCATTCTCTACGCGTTTTCAGCATGGAAATAATCTTTTCAATTTTACAAAAGAGCAGAAATTCAATTCTAGAGTCTGTTCTACGGAAAGCTATAGTAACTTTCATTATAAATTAAACATTAGCACATCCCCATTTACATGTTATGAGGTCTCTCACATTTTATGAAAAATTGCCTGTTAGCTTTTTTGCATAGGTGCCTACATACTCTGGTAGAGAATTTTAAGTAAGTAGGTACCTAAACTTTTCATCAGTCTAAATTTTTGGTATAGTACCTAATAGGTTTACATTACGATATTTTTGTAAAAATATAAGAAAACACTGGTTTGAGGTAGACAGACTGTCCAGTCCGAAATTCTCTGCAGCAAACAATGGGTGAATAACTTTAACACAAATGCGTTGCTTGTTTGACGTTTCAAATAACTGCTTAAAGAAGTTAATTGTATTTACTGTTACCCCAACACAACATGGCAAATATTAATGAACTAGTACATACAAATTTATTTTGAGTGTAAAAATGGTATCTATTCAAGCTGATCGTTTTCCCGATGGAATTCCACCCAATCGTCTAAGTTCGGAAAATTGTAGCAACGCTTACTATATGAACCCGGTAGGTATTTAATAAAGGAGAAAGGAAATTGTCGTGATGTCCGAAATGAAAATTTAGAATTGGACTAAACGTAGTAGAAAAACAAAAAACGTCAGTTCGTGAAATTGCACGTAACACTAACGCATCTGTTAGCACTGTTCATAATATATTTTGAGAAACCATAAATTACGTCCTTATAAGGTACGTTAGATCTTACTAAGTAGGAAATTAATTCACTCTTAATGAATCATTTATTAGGTCAATTTAATTCAACATTCATCAGAGCCAAATGATGCTGCAAAACGAATAACCTTCTCAAATTGGTATTTAAACTCGTGCCAAGAAAATCAAACAAACATTACCTAGGTACCGCTTGAGTCAAGGAAGGAAAAGCGAAATGAGAGTGCGTGCAATATTCGTTAGAGAATATTTAGTGTTAATGTTTGGTGCGATATCTTTTGGCGGTAACATTGTGGCCCCGTTTTTTGTTAACGGCATACACTAACAAAGGGGCGTATCTATCTTTTGCGAATGATCTAGCCGCGCATCTTGAAGAACTGTCACTGATTTTGAGGCAGAAAATGCTTTTCAAACAAGACGGTGCTCCTGCCCATAACGCCAATGTTAGTACACATGGTTCGAACAAAATATTTGAGCAAAACTAGATATATAATGTAGTATAAATCGCGCAATTAAAAGGTTCTCTCGGTCTGCGAATTTAACTCCTTTCGATTTCTTCCTGTGGAGCAAATTAAAGGACATAGGCTTTTTCAACAATGCTTTAAAGCGCAGATGAGCTACAACACCATTTCCATTTATTTTCAGGACAATGTTGATGTATCAGAATTATTGAACTATTTGATGTTTGATTTTCTTTAAATAATTGTTTTGTTTATTTTGTTTTGGTAATTCTAAATATAAATTACATGTGCAAACATCTGCAAATCATTTGCGTAGTACCTACCTATTTGTAAAAGTTTATCTCATGTTTTCCCCGGTCGTTGATAACAAGTTTTCGTATCGCTGCGAAGCTAATTAGTTTCAAGATTATTATTATTATTGTAAAATAAGGAAGAAGGAAGTAAATGGAAAGCGAAAAGATTTAAATAAGCGAACCGGACGTTAATCGTGGCTCTTTTGTGGTGGAAAACGTGAATTGAGTTTTTTTGAACGATAAAACGTGGCCGCATTTGGGCGTATTTCGTTACCGGGGTTTTGGCAGAGACAGTCAGTCTGTTTAATTGTGAAGTTTACGAAGTTAGTTGAAGTTCAATAAGAGATTTATATAATACAGAAGTGTATTTCCC